TTATTATTATTATTATTATTATTATTATTATTATTATTATTATTATTCAGTCAAAATGTCTTCCTTGAATTGCTTCCAAATTCCAAATTGTTTCCAAAACTTACATTTGGACTGGCAAAAATCCGGAGGGCCACCAGATGGCAGAAGAGAGACGGTGAAATCTGGCTTGGCTGCCACCTAGTGCTCGTCCAGATGTGCGCAGCCCAGATGGGGTTGGTTCTAGGTTTGCAGGTTCTTTAGCTTATTTGCCTTGAAAGGGTGGGTGGGATTTCCACTTTGAGGAATAAAAGGGGGAAAAAAGGGATGTATAGAGGAGCTGAAGCCTGCATGAATCTGACAATCCGGTTTCAAGCAAATGTTCAAGATAAGATGGTCCATGGGGGATAAAGGACAAGCTTCTTAAGATTTCCAAACTGTGAATGGATTACCTTGTAAAAGGTTGCAAATACAATTCTCCCTCATGACACAGAATATACAGCCTTTAAATGGGCTGAATTTCCACAATGGGCTCACCCAAAGTTAACTGAACTGTGCTTTATTGAGTTAACCCACTATTCTTAGTTTGTGTGACAGCCTGAATTGAGTTCACCAAAGTTAATTCTTGAATTGCTTTCTGGAATCAAATAGGACATCCAACACCGAAAATCACAAAAACCATAAACAGTTAACAACCAAACTTAACTGGGTGTGGGTATGTTAAATTTATAACTCATTGGCTTAAGTGTGGGGTATAAACTCAGACATGAAATCCTAAACCAGCCTCCTAGCTGGGCTCACACAACACACTAAATATCAAATAGATATTTGACAAGTTTCTGGTTCAGTTTGCTTCAATGAAGGATAAAATAGGAAGCACAGATACACTCATCTTGAATGACAAGTTATTTTGCAGTCAGAGTGGTCACAATGGACAACATTAATTTATGTTTAAGTAGTTCACACATCTAAGCCCAAGCAAACAAGCTGCACAATGTTTTGGTTAGACAAAGATTTAATCCATGCCCTGGTTTTGGCTCATTAGTTGCTACTGTCCTTCTCTAACCTAATTCATACTTTCCACTAAGCCTTAAAGTGGTTTGAGTCTGGCTTAAGATCCTGTGGTGTGTATTCAGTGTGTGTGCACTTTCAAGTCAGACCTAACTTCTGAGAACTGCCTGGATGAGTCCTTGTAATTTTTGGACAAGATTTTGGAGGTGATTTGACATTGCTTGCTTGGTAGGGCTGAGAGAGGGACTGGCTGAAGTCACCCATCTGGTTTTGTGCCTAAGGCAAGACTTAGGCAGCATCTCCTGGTTTCTAGCCTGATGCCTCAACTACTATCTTAACTGGTTCTTATATTCAGTGGGTGACAATTTAAAAAAAACTGGTTTGCTGCAATGTGAGAACCTAATCATTCTGAAAAGTGGCAGACATAGGAGAACTAAAGCTGGTTTTGATAACCTATATAAGACCATCTAGCAAATCCACATAACACTTTTAATCACTTTTAATCATACTCCTCTTCTAGAGTAAGGAGAGTAATTCTCATGTTTTAAAATTCCCACTCTAGCAAGATTTTTCTCCTAGTTGATTAAGGGCTAAAAGATTTTGTTTAAAAAGTTGCAAATAAAACACAGCTGAGAGAACTGATAGTCTAATACATAATATAAGTAAAATTCAAGATAATTATGGTAGATTAGAAAAGAGTGAATAACTGTTAATGCAGAGTTCATTTATTCACTGTTTCATTTATGTAACTTATTTGTAATTTCAATGTTGTTTGAAACATTGAAATTAATTGTCAATGACTTACAAATTCAAGTATTTCTGTATCTCAAGTATGGTGCAGATTCTGCCTAACATACTAAGAAAAGCTCAGAATAATTGAACCGTGTACAAAGAAAACAAAAGATTTATACAAGGGACTGAGTATGTTAAATCTTGAGAAAAGGATGACTGGAGGGAGCGAACACTGTAAAGACCCTAAAAGGATATAACATAGAAGGTTAACATTTGATGTCTATCATTCCAGAGTGTAGAAGATGGAGTGTTGGTTTTAAGTTACAGTAAGACAGATTCTGGTCGAATGTTAGAAAAAGCCAGTCAATCATAAGCACAACTCAACAAAGGAATCAATCTCCAAGGGAGATAATGAATCTTCTCAGTCAATGAGCTCAAGAGAAACCAGGCAACTGTCTGCCCTGCAATGAAAATTGGACTCAGTGGATGAAATGACTTCTCCCAACCAATTCTATGCCTGAAAATTTCCATTTTCCAATCAGGTAAAAAGAAAGCCTTGTTGAATTTCTTACTGCAGCACGAACAGAAATATGAATCTGTCTGGCTGGGACTGGAGATTCATTTGTTGAGGATGCTTTAATTTGGGTCTGCATTGAGCAAAGAATTGGAGTCAATAGCTTAACTAGCTCCCTCCATTTTATGGGTCTAAGGAGAGTTCATCCAGAAAACAGTGACAGAAAAAGTGGGGCTTCAGCTAGAAGGTAGGGCAAATTTTGTCCAGTGGTTAATAATTTAAAAAAAAAACTTTAGGTATGGGTTTAATAAGTGCCAATAACTAATTTTGTGGTTGTGTGCAAGACATTGCCCATAAAATGGCTGAACTCCTTAGAATGGGCAAAAACACAACATAAATTACAAGACTACTAGTTTGATAATGAGTAATACAGGTAGTCCTCACTTAATGACTTGTCATTTAGTGGCCTTTTGATGTTACAACAGACCCCTCCAAAGATATTTATGGCCTTTATTTGAAGTTCTGATGTCCACCCCTCCCATGGTTATTTGATTACATTCATGTTTGCATCCATTTGCAATTTGTTGGGTTTTTTAACCAGAAACCGGCATTAACTTCCATTTTCCAGCAAAAAATATGCATTGGCTAAAATGGATTTGCTTAACAATTTGCTTTATGACCACGGTATTTACTTAATAACTATGGCAAAAAAAGACATAAAATTGGATTGCTCATGTGAGGTCCCACTTAATGACTAGCATGATTTATTATCATAATTTTGGGCTCAATTACAATCATAAATCTATGACTACCTCTATAGTTGTGTCAGTGTAAAGAATTATTTTCCATACCTCCCAGAAAGTTTATTTTCCTTAGAAATGCAGTCAAAATTTACATTCAGTTGAAATATTTTAGAAATATTTATATAGAAACATGTTCACGTAGTTAATAGGTTTACTTCATAATGAACATAGAAAACAGCTATATCACTTTATTTTGAGTAAGCCAAATTAAGTTTGCAACTTCAGGTAATACTTTGTGGTAAGGAGGCTTACAAATTTAGACAGAAATTTGTAATACAAGTAGTAAATAAAAGAAGTAATGTCAAACATTTCCGTCCTCTGAGGGGAGTTTGTAAGAGGAGCATATCTGAAGAAAGTTTTTGGTAATTCCGAAGCCTGGATGGTGCCCCAATAGGAGAATTTAAAATACTGTATATAGGATGAGGTTCTTAACCATGTTTTGGAGTCCCTGAAAGAAAGTGATCACAGGGAGTTTAGGAAAATCAAGCCTGTATAGGGGCAGATAATATCCTTCAAAATATGAAGGGCTACTGCATAGAATAAGGCAAAGACTTCTTCTTGGCTCCTTATCTGAGGGAAACCTAGATCTAATAATGGGTTAAATTTATAGAAAGCTATAGTTCAAAGTAAGATTATGATTATGATTCTCACTCTTTTTGGTGAGAACCAACAGAGAATGCAGCCAGTTATTTTGAGAAGATGGGTTTAGTCTTTCTATCTTCAAGCAGATGCTTTAACAGGTTGTATAACATTTACATTGAGTAGGAGGCTGCAAATTAGTTTTTTTTTAAAAAAAAATGGTTTAGTTCTTTATTTATTAGAATCATGTTTCTACCTGCACACTCGAGTAATTCAATTCTAGGATTATTGCTAGGTAGAATTTTCATGGAACTTAGTATGATTTTAGAGAAACATTTACACCCTCTAAAAAAAACCCTGTCAAACAAATAGCAGGCCATTTTAAGGGGAAAACAGAAAAGACACATTGTAAGCAAGAAATCAATTAATGGAATTCATTTTTGTAAGATGTTATGCCCACCACTCTGAACTGAATGAGCTAGCTACATCAGTTGCTAATAATTGTGTGTTAAAACTGAGCT